AACTCCTGTCCTCAGGTGATCCGCCCTCCTCAGCCTCCCAAAGTTCTGGGGTTATAGGGGTGAGCCACCATGCCCGGCCAAACATGATTCTTTACAGAATTTTTACAAGATTGAATTCCTGGTTTGACACAAGATTTACACCTACGAATCCTGACTCCACTGTGAATATTCCTTCTACTGCACCCTGCTTTCTCTCCACATTATTTTTCCTTTTCATGTTATCAATTCCAACTCCATTACCAGAAAATAGAAGGACAAATTATTTCAGTAACCAGAATCTGACACCTTAGTATAAAGATAGCTATTAAAATCTCGCTAAAATAAATGTTTAAAAATTATGAAACTGTATCTTGTCATCTTTCATCAATTTAAATGTCCTTGTGGTCTAATCCAATTTTAAACACATACCATGAAAGTTCCTGGCATACTTGCTAGAAATATAGTACGTATATAATAATAATTTCGAACCAAGAACCCAAAGGCAATATTATCTTGATTCTGGACATTTATCACTTAACTGTGGCTTACTTCCTTATTAATAAAACAAAGGAGGTAGACATAATAAAGGATTCTTTTGTTCCAAACATTTCTTATATAGCCTCTTCTCACTCCACTAATTTTAATATTTCCATTTGCCAGCTGATACGCTGTTTCTTTTCAATAAAGTACATAAATTTAAATACTGTAATTTTCTATGTTAAAAAGTCTTACCTCAAATTTTGAGGCGCTTCACCAAACAAACTACAAATTTCTCTAATCTGTTTCAGTGCGGGAATAACCCATTTGTCATTTGTGCGAAGTTCTTCTATAAAGCGATCTATCCATTGGATCTTTTGTGTATCACGGTCCTTAAACAAATGATTTCAATGTTTTAAGTAGATTGATAGGAGCATTTTATTTTCAAATTATTTTGAGAATTATAAAATAAAAGCTTTTAAGACTGGCAACACAAGCATCATGTTGTAGTTACAGTAAAGAGTTTAATTTAAATAATAATAAAAGCTTTATGTTTGTTTTAATTTCACATTTACTACCAAAACTCCAAAAAGTACAGCACTATTATAAAAGCTAAGTATTATATGGACTGAAATACATCTACACACATTACAGATCCTAAGTATTAGGCACACTGACAGAAAGTTTGATTTTCCAAGTTTGCCAGAGGGTAGGTATTGAGTTTTATCCAGTATTTTAAGAGATTCTACCATATCATAAAATCTGTAATTAATATATAACACCACACTGTTACTCTAAATGGGCCAAGTTTTAGTACAGTGAAGAACACTAAAAATGTATATTTTACTAAGAAAATAGAATGGCAACTACATTTAAAAATAATCACCAAAATAAAAATAAAGAAACATACATACAAGGAGAGAAAAGGGACAGCAACAGATATAAACAGTCAAAAATTAATAATGTTATAAACTCAAAATTATTTCTATTATGGTATTTTACTTCTCAAACCTTAGTTACCTTCACCTCTTTCCTTAAAGTCAATAGTAATCGGTAACTCCAAGTTTGTGTGTCTAACAATTTTGTAAGCTTGGATTATTTTTGCAAACAGGGAAATGAAAACAATTTTGTGGAGTTTTTTTTTTTTCCCTTAAACTCCTCAAGTTTGGAGTTATTCTGTAATATACAGATATTCTTTTTTTGGTAGCAAAATGAAAATGATACTCTTAGATGATATACACTAAACATTTTCTACATCAGTAAAAGTCTTTCTACATCAATAATCCTTTTAATGGATGCATAATACAACCTTGCATAAACTATTATCATGCCTGTAGTCCCAGCACTTTGGGAGGCTGAGGTGGGTGGATCACTTGAGGTCAGGAGTTCGAGACCTGCCTGGCCAACATGGCAAAACCCCGTCTCTACTAAAACTACAAAACAATCAGCCGGGCGTGGTGGCACACGCCTGTAATCCCAGCTACTGGGGAGGTTGAGGTAGGAGACTAGCTTGACACCAGGAGGCGGAGGTTGCAGTGAACCTAGATAGTGCCACTATACTCCAGCCTGGGCAACAGAGTGAGACTCCATCTCAAAAAAAAAAAAAAAAGTAATTATTAAGGAGGCTTCCACATGTTCACGTCTATAAACACTAATGAATGTCCTTGTGGGTACCTCTTTGTATCCTTTTTCACTATGTCTGAGAAGAAATTTCTCTAAGTAGAAGTGCTGGGTTTAATAGTGTATAACTTTTTAAGGTCATGAAAAAATTTATGATCAAATGTACACTTTGACAGCAGTCTTGGCAAGCAGAAGGGAAAAAAGAGGCAGTTGGAGAATGACTTTTAAAAATTTATTTCCCAAACAACATATTAAAGTTGAAGCTGGAAAAAGGCAAAGTCCACTAAATCCAGTACCTATTCACGAATGAATGTGTAAAACACTATGCCAGGCACTGATACTAACAGATATTTAAAAGAGAAGTTACTAGTTAAAAGCCCTGATAGCAAATGTACTGCTTTGATTCAAGACTCCTCAGAAGAACCCTTGGTTTAATGAATTATCACTATTTAATTTGGTGAATACTTAACAAACTGTTGCAAGTAAGCATAGTCAAAACCTGAGGAGTATCTACATTAATATACCTTCCTGAGCTTTTCTTAGCTCTTACCTAAATGCCAGTTCATCAATGTAACAAATAGTTTTTATTAACAAGTGAAAAATTACTCAGCAATGTTCACTTTACCATGTGTTAAAAAATACAAATGCTACAAATTAGAATATAGGGAAATTGTGTGATTTGCTCATTGTAGAGACACTAAATGTTTTACTAGTTAGGATATTCTACTAATTTTTCTTAACTTCCCTATGAGCCAAGAAAACCTAATTTCTCTTCTCGCTAAAGTCCCTAATCAGCTTTAATATTTTATGATCTATTCAAAACTGGCATTTCAGAACCATACACTTGATAATACCACCACTGTATAATCTGTTCTGTTTATACTTTCTCCCAAGGAGATTAAAATGCTTTTCAGATGAGTCACAAAACCTTGATGTCAGATCCTGAGGCAGACTAATGAACAAAAAAAGTCGATTCTGAAAAATCATTGAAAAACTAACAATGTCAGAGTAATACAGAACTATCCTGTAACTAACCCCTCTAACTGAAGGGGAAAGGTCACAAAAAGAGAGCAAAGCAATACACCCTTACCTGGGAGCAACTGTAATCTAGTATTTTTATGTGGGCACTGAGAGCCAGATCCATGATATCTACAGGCACATCATCACTGTGGGCCAGATTCCACAAAAGGTTCAACACTTTGTGTGCCATCACACCATCTTTATCATCTTCTGCAAGACGACGTATTAGCTCAAGTAGCTTTTCACGTTGCTTTTTACTCGCATTTGTCCAACTGGCCTAGAAAAAAATTAAGTGACATGAAAACAACACATAGTCACCACTTCATAAATTGCCACCAGGTTAACAATATTCAAATTCATCAGAAAAACAACATAGCTGAGCACAGAATTATTCAATGAGACGTGAAAATATAGTTAACCTGGTATTTTTTATAGGGTAGAGATAAATTCCAAAAAAGAAAAATAAATGATACATTATCTCAATTTAGAAGACACACACCATTAAAAACTCTTAAATACATTTTTTTTTAAAACCTCTGAAGTAGTATTGTAATACAACATAGTTACCATACTGGGGGAAGGGTAGGGTACTGATGGTATTTTGTGAGTAGAGGCTGGGGATGCTGCTAAGCAATATGGGAAAAGCCTTATGTGTAAAATTACTGCTACTGTTTGGATGTCCCCTCCAAAACTCATGTTAAACTGGGACCATGCCTCTTGCACTTTCCAACCTTCAGAACTGTAAGCCAAATAAAATTCTGTTCTTTGTTGCTATAACAGCAGAAAATGGACTAAGTTGCTAATCAGTGTTTATAGAGACAGTAAACTGAAATGAACCTAATGTCAAACGGTAGAAGAACGATTAGTTTCTAAGAAACTTAAAAGACATACACATGGACCGTATCAGGATCCTGATTAAAACTCACTTCTAAAATGAAGATGTATGACCTAAGACATTTAGACATAATTACGGTACACAATGTAAACACTTGTGTAACTAGTACCCAGGTAAAAAATAATACATGGCAAGCAACACCCCAGAAACCAGCTGTGCCTATTTCGGAACTTTACATTAATGTAATCAAGGTACATGAATTACTGTGTGGCTTTATTCCTTTTTTCAACCTTCTGTTTATTAGACTCATCCATGTGGATGAGCTACTCTTTCACTGCCACGAAATTTTTCACTGTATGAACATTCCAGGGTTTTTTTTTTTTTGCTACAAGTGTTGTTGAACACATATCCTGGTGTACATAATCATGAGTTTCTCAAGTGTATATTCAGAAGTTAAGTTGATGAGTCATGAGAATCTTAAACTTAAATACCAAATATTTTCCAAAGTGGCTATAGCAATTTATGTTCCCACTAGTCAGTATGTTATTTTTAACAAGAAACCTTGGTGACCTAATGATCTAATGCCAGTTGTCAAAACAACAGCCCTTAGTGCACACTGCCATAAGGTCTTCATGTTCTTAATCCACAAATTCACTGACCACTTGAGCTTTCACAAACCTAACCCTGGCAACTGATGAAAGATATTACACAACATGTCCTCAAAAAGCAACATGATGGCATTAATGTAGATATGACTATAGGGGTTCTTAGGCTACCTTATCAGTTATATTTTGATTAACACATATTTTGCTTGTGCATATGACCTCAGAATACTAAGATATTGGTAATCCCTTGCTGTCATCTTACTGTTTATTGCAACCAATCATCCTTCCCTGTAGTCCTAAAATTTGCTTGAACCTGTAACTAAAATAGAAACTGCCAGGGGAAAAAAAACAAAAAGTGATAGCCTGAGTTTCCCTTATGCGGGCTATTATGAAAATGATCATCAAGTTCTTCTTGGAAAAGAAAACAATGGTCAATTCCTTCACACCACAGACTATTGAATGGGATTTCTATTTAAGTATTTATTGGCTAGGAATAACTCACAGATCTAATTAATCAATTCTATTTGAAACAGAATGGTAATATTTTGCTATGTTAACAATTACCTTAAAACAATCAAAAAGATGATCAAGTTGTTCAGGAGAAAAATCCCATGCCAATTTTGCCAGGAGATCGTGTACATTCTTCACAATGGCTTCATGTTTCCCTGCCTATTGAAAAACAAAAACAAAATCACAAAACACTAGAATCTGAGTAACAGATTAAATAGTATACACTGCTTGCTGACAACTATCAATAAAGTACTCTTATCTCTTTCATTTAACTGTAACACAAGAAAATTCTTAACACAGCCCGCACGGTGGCGAATGTCTATAATCCCAGCACTTTGGGAGGCTAATGCAGACACATCACTTGAGGTCAGGAGTCAAGACCAGCCTGGCCAACAAGGTGAAAACCAGTCTCTACTAAAAGTACAAAACTTAGTGGAGTGTGGTGGCAGGTGCCTGCAAGCCCACCTACTTGGGAGGCTGAGGCAGGAGAATCACTTGAACCCAGGAGGCAGAAGTTGCAGGGAGCTGAGATCGAGCCACTGTACTCCAGCCTGGGTGACAGAGCAAAACTCTGTCTTGGCGGAAAAAAAAAAAAAAAAAAAAATCTAACATTATCAAATGCTTTAGAACTGCTACCTAAAACCTGGCCACTTAATTTCACGATATAATAAATACAGCTAATGTGTACTCTGGTGGTTCATAAAAACCTTTATTACAATTTAACATGCCAATTTTAATATTGCGAATAGAAAAATAAGACACACTAACAATACTGTTTCAAAACTGGAACCTTAAACAATCAAGGCAAAACTGTTTTCTTGGTTTTTATAGACTAAAAAAAACCCCAAAGCTTTATAATCTACAACTTAATAATGTTTCCCAAGAAATCCACGAATAGAAAACTGTCATTAAGATAATAGAAGGAGCTGTAGTTTCCAACTCAAAAACTAAAAAGGTTACTAATCCTTCCAAAGAGTTAATAAATTCTCTGGAATAATTATTATAGGTCTTTATAAAGATTTAAATCTGACACTGGAGGTTTTTGCTTTCTAGCAAGTCTATGAAGAAACCAATTACAGATGTCTTTACACTTTTTCAACAGACATTCCTTATGATTTTACTGTTTGCATCTTTATTTAAAACCACTGACAAATTCTCAACCTTTATCAAATACAGACAAAGGAATATTTTTATTTTTAAAAGATTATTGGTTATTTCAAAAAGATTCCTGGCAGGGGAACAAGCATTTAAATGTTCTCAAAGTCAAACAATACAAGCCTGCAACCATTTCATAACGGCTACTGTATTTCTTCGGTTTTTAGTATCTTCATTTTAAAAACTAAATAGCCATCATCTTAAATTCCTTACCTGTGCTGCCCAGATATTATCAAGATCCTGTAAGGTCAGAGCTTTTTCTTTGATGACAAAACGAAGAATCTTCTCTAGCTTTTCTACATACTGTGGCTGATGAAGACTATCTCGCAACACTATGGATAAGATATTGTTCTGCTGTATCCATTCCTAAATGTTAATTCAAAAACGTGTTTGAAAGCAGAAATTAAAACAATTTTTTTCTTAATTGCTCACACTATTAAATAAGAAATTTTAAAACACATTTACAAGATACAATACTGATAAAATATGCTTAAGTGTTGCTTTAATGGAAAATTATGAAAGTATAATTTTATAACAATTTTGCACATACAGAAATGCTTCCATAAATTAGAAATACTGAAATCAAAAAGATTCTACACTCCAGCATTTATTCAGAAAAATATTAAAGTACACAATCACCATGGTAGGGTGGGTACAGGACCAATTTTAGAATCTTCGGATTCTTTATTCCAATTTGGTCACAGAATTATGTTTTGACCCTGGGTAAAAAGGCACTCTTTTTTTACATTCATTCATTCATTTTTTGAGATGAAGTCTCACACTGCTGCCCAGGCTGGAGTGCAGTGGCAGGATCTCGGCTCACTACAATCTCTGCCTCCTTGGTTCAACCAATTCTCCTGCCTTAGCACCCCGAGTAGCTAGGACTACCACGTGTGCCACCACGCCCGGCTAATTTTTGTATTTTAGTAGAGATGGGCCATTTCACCATGTTGGCCAGGATGGTCCTGATCTCCTGACCTCATGATCCACCCACTTCAGCCTCCCAAAGTACTGGGATTACAGGCATGAGCCACTACGCCCAGCCTTACTTTTATTAACAATTATCATGTGCCAGGCACTATTATTGCTTATTCATTATCTCTTTAATTTTCCAAACAATCCTAGTAAGAGATACATTATTCTATTACAAAATGTAAACAGGCTTACAGATGCTAGAATTGGAATATGAATCAAGTCATATGCTGCCACAGTCTGTTTTTCTGTAACACTATGCTAGCTTGTTCAACTAGCATTCATTTAATCTATAAAGTGATAACTCATGATACAAACGGGGAGTAATCCACACTGTATGACTTTGCAATATTCAGTTTAACTGAGAATAAAAAGTAGTTAGGCTCAAAATGTGCTCGAGAAGTACATGTCTCAGCTGAAAAAGAGCCAGCTTTTAATGTCTAATCTGTTGCAGATATTTTTATTTTATTCTACATATATATTTTTAATATAGAGACAGGGTCTCGCTTTATTGCCCAGGCTGGTCTTGAACTCCTGGCCTCAAGCAATCTCTCCACTGCCTCCCAGAGTGCTGGGATTACAGGCCTGAGCCACTGCAGAGCTGCAGATACTTTTGTAAAATAAAATAAGAATGTCGCGATGTCAAACTGCAACTAAAGTTTCTAAACACTTAATGCCATTTTCTGTCCTATCTAGGACTGGTTCAAGAACCAGCAGCAGTCTTCACACCATACTTTCAATAGCTCTGTGCTGGATTTTTTCCATGAGGCAAATTGGTACATCACATGTATGAAACCAGATGTCTATCACCTGACCCTCTATTACAGGGCAGTATCTAAGCAGTCTCCACATACATTTTAACACACTCTAATCACTATCTCCGCCATTAAACTGAGGGCTCCTTGAGGGCAAGTACAGTTCTCCTACAGATGTTCCCCCCAGGACTGTTACACAATCTACATTCAAAAAATATTGGCTCTATGCTTAAATGGCATACTTACTCATTTCAAAACAATGTATACAAAATATCTATGGTACATAAAGTTTCCTAAAATTTCAATGTCAATAAGTGCTTTCAAAATAAAATTCTCAAAGTCATGATAAAACGATTTGTGTAGCTCTTATTCTAGTAATTTCATTTCCTGTTTTAAAACATTTAAACCTAAATGGTCAAATAAACAATAGGGCCACTTTATAAGGTACCAGATACTACCCAATCCACTTTCTAGATTGGGTAGTATCTACCTACTCCATTTCAATCAATTTCCCACTCCCCAACAAACTAATAATTACTTTGGAACGCCACATTCATCACTAAGTTTATCAAAGATGTTTTAAAGCTACACATCGCAATACCAAATAATAAACTATGTTATTTCAAAAAGTTCTCAGGATTAACAGAGTTACAAATCAATCAGAACATCTCCAATTTGAGAGTTTATTTTAAAATGTTACTAATTTTTTTAGCTAGAGCTATTCTAATTTTTTGTCCTAAGTAGATTCTTATTCACATAAAGAAGAATCGAAAGACTCACTGCCATTCGTTCAGCTGTGAGCCACTCTTCCTCCTCAGGATTACCATGCCGATGGGTATAGTATGATACACTAGATATCACCTTATTAACTTCATTCAGTGCATTCATCTTTCCATTGAAAGAAGAAATTTGCAATAATCTGTAAGAAAAATTCAGTGATAAGTATGATTCTAAAATTGGCACACATAATTACTTCAAGACTTAAGTATCTTACCTAAGTATCATTTTTAACCTAAATATTTCTAAGTTTTTAACAGTTTCTTCTTGTCCTGGAACCCTTGAAGCTAAATTCTTCAAAGATTTAATAATCATTGAAAGAGCATCATTTTTGGCTTCATTCTTTGCTTCTTTTTTCAGTTCTTCATCAGTTAAGTTTTCTAAAAACTGTGGAACCATTTCTATTATTGGAAGAAAGTATTTTTTCACTGTATGAAGAGTGAGAAACTCATAGCATTGCCCAAATGGTCTGAAATAAGAAAGATACAAAACTCCTGTAAATATGCAAATTCTTAAAATCAATTTAGACTAAACTCTATATTACTTTTTGAACTCTATATTACTTTTTAAAAATTCAAGTAATTAGTTGAAGAAACCACAGTTGAAAACCTCAATTTTTATGAAGCAAAACCCAGCAATTCTACAGTGCACTAAACATTGAATCTTAAATGTAACTTACTTAATAAGAGCTGCAATTATTTGAACGTTTAATGCTGATCCATTAATAAAACGATCATGTAAAATCTGGAACCCATTTAGAGTGCCAAATTTGTTGAGAAGATCCACTAGCCAACCCTGTAACACAATTAATGCAAAAAGTTAACTTCCTACTTTAAGGGGTAACAAGCACTAAACCTTTATTGAAATATACTAGAAATAGTAAATTCAATAAAACAAATCATCTTTCAAAGGACCACAAAACATTGCATTTTGTACATAGTAATTCCATCTGTGAGACAGAAGCAGTATATGGAGCAAGCACGGATTAAATCACTGGGGCACAGTTCTGTCTGTTTGTTCCAATATTAAGTGGTGAACAAGAATTAGAAGACATGCTCCTATTTCAAATATCCCACCATAGAAGAATGAATACCTTCTAATTATTGGAAAGTCTTTTAAGTTAATTTTCAGGAGGCAGAAAGACTTCAAGAGAGTTAAGAAGCTACTTAGTAATCTAATATTAATGAATTTTGAATCTACTTCTTGTTTAGTTGTAAAACATTAAAATTTCCCTATAAACATAATAACAGCCAGAGAGTGAACTGTCAATTAAAAACTAAGCCCTGGTATTAGTATCCATTGTTCCTAAGTAGAATATGCTGGTTGATACTTTTGCTTATACAAATTGCACCCAGTTCTCCGTATCTTAGAAGTAACACCATGCAACAGGATGAACTGTCTAAGAAAGAGCTGTAGCTCAAAGTACCATACAGCTGGGACAGCAAACAGTTGTGACGCTAAAAGCATGTCTGTATGCAAAAACTTAAAATGAATTAAAAGGCTATATAGATTTAAGAATCAAATATATGTAGAAATTAACATACCTAAGAAAACCTTTCACACTTTGCCACCTTCTAAAATTTAGGCCATGTTTTAGAAGCTGCTGAAGGGAAAACAATGGACAGAAAAGGCAATTTTCTCTTCTACAGCTTACACAAAAATATTTTCTACAGCTATTTTTTTTTTAATGTACAGGAAAAATGAAAGATGCCAAATAAATGGTTGTATGTCCAATGTTAAAGAGAAAATATGATAACTAATGCTAGTTTTGTTTTTTGTTTTTTTTGTTTTGTTTTGTTTTTTGTTTTTTTTTTTTT